CAGACAGCAGCAAGTCCCTTGGCATGCAAACATGATCATTTGAACTTTACCAGATGCACACAATGGATCACTGCACGGTATTGTTTTACTTGCACTGCCATCTGACGACACACTGCCTAACGCCATGGATGAGGGTAGAGATTTCAATGAATATTTCATCATAGATGCCTGCAATGCTGAAGAGGCAGGCAGTATCTGAATCGAAAAAAGATGCTTGCCTCTTCAACAGTGGCAGCATCTGAGGAAGAAGCAACGAAGAAGCCCAGCTTTACTGAACTGTGACTGCGGTTCTCATTTACCGATATCTCACTGGAACACGGAAAGGTTCACTATCAAAACCAGCTGAGGCTCCCAACACTATCCTATTATAGTCTTGAGTTTTAAGACCCAGCCGCCACTGAAACACGCCAACAAGGAGGTGCAGAAAGAGAACCTATTCCCCTTATCATTTGGTGAGAAATCTTATTATTAATACACCAAGCATAATGCTCCACATCAAAAATATATCTGTGACCCATTCTAAAAGTATTATAACTCACATTGTACATATGTCTGCGTCAAATGAAGAAAATATAACCCTCCTGCTTCTGGCCTTTAGTAGAACAGTTTTCAAAATTATATCTAGGAAAACGTTCATGTCGAAGTAGGTTGAAAGATTGCCATCCCATACCCCATCCTGAAAAACAACAGATTTTTAGATATTTAGTATAAATCAGTGGCTAATTCAAGATTAATCTGTACATTTTATAGGCAGAAGTTACTCTATTCCTGTGTAACTATGTACAAGACAGGTCTCTGTGGCCTCTGCTTCCAGTGTAACCCAAAACCCTATGGCCCAGCAAATTCCTCACAAGCAGAATTGTGCGGGCCACAACAACACTATTTCACAGCATTACTACAGTCACTCTGTTCACCAAAGATAATAGCTGACGCCTGAAGGATTCCTCGCTCTTGCTCTGGAGCACTAGGATGTTGGATGGTACAGCAGCTAAAACATCCAAAGCAAGAGTTTTTGATTAAACATTAGGAAGAACTTCCTGACAGAGTGGTTCCTCAGTGGAACAGGCTTCCTCGGGAAGTGGTGGGCTCTCCTTCTTTGGAGGGTTTCAAGCAGAGGCTAGAGGGCCATCTGACAGCAATGCGGATTCTGTGAACTTAGGCAGATCATGAGAGGGAGGGCAGGAAGGGTTGCATCAGTGCTTAGTTCTTGTGGCCCTTTCTTACACGCCCAGGGAAATGCTGATTGCCACTTTGGGGTCAGGAAGCGATCCTGGAGGGTTGGGGTTTTTTTGTTTTGTTATCTGCTGGGCGTGGAACAGCAGTCACTGCGGGTGTGGAGGGGGGAGGTATTTGTGAATTTCCTGCATTGTGCAGGGGGTTGGACGAGATGACCCAGGAGGTCCCTTCCCATTCTATGAGTCTATGATTCTAAGCTTAAACACACAATCTTGGACTCTAAATATTAATTTGTGATGACACAGGGATCTTCCTCCAAGGCAGCTTGTTTACAGATTATGGGATTTTTCTTTTTAATTACCCTCCCTTGGCTCTTTCGCTGGAGTCATCCAGATCCATTTGCTCTGCAGGCACCTGCCTATAATTCACCTGTCTCTGCTGGCAACACACTATGGCCTGATTTGACTACAGCAGCCTGTGACGGGGCAGGCGGCCGGCTCTCCTGACAGGAACCTGTGTGGCAGTTCTAGTCATCCTACCGGTCTATACTCATCTCACCGTGCCAGCAGGTGTGAGAACTACTGCATCCTAACTCTTGGGCTTTCACTACTGCTGCCCCGGTTCTACAGAGCCAATTGCTGGGACTGTCAGCAATGCCCCCAACCCAATGGTTTTTTGAAAGCTTTGCAAAACTGAACTGCCTGGAGAACAAACTGAAAAAGCTGCTGTAGCGTTCCTTCACAAGTTGTGTCACTGCTGTTTTACAGTCTCACCGTCATGACACAGTGTGCAACCTTTGGTGGCAAGCTACCTGAAGTCCCAACTGAACAGGACAAAGGTGGGGTTTAGAAGCATGAGAAAAATAAATAAATCTACTGCTAACAGCCGGACTGGTTGGCTTTCAGTTCCTTCAAACTCTGTTCTACAAAACCGTGTGTCCATACTTTCAGGATCAGTACCTTAGCATTAGATACCCAAATGGCATACTGTGAGGCAAAACTCACTGGGAAAGCTATGTTGGATTTAGGCATACTGTACTGATAACAAGAGAACTTGAAAGACAAGGGACAGAAGCACAGTAGTTAGTCTAGCCAGAATCTATAATTTAGATACTGGAATAAAGGAAATAGATACAAGGCGCTCAGATAAGAAGTATATTAAGAATGTTGCTACTTACCCTTTGCTGACAGATCCATTTTATTTCTATATTAAACCCAACATCTTCAGGAATAGCTTCTAATACCTGGATGGGGAACCGTTACCAAAGAATTATTAACCACCAGTGGTCAAGGGGAAAAACCCAACTCTGCTGAATACACGTCCTTTTGATCTTTGTGATGTGACACTATCAGATAGCTGACAGCTTAACAGTGCAATCATACGCAGAGTAACTCCAATCCAAGATGCCTACTGAAAAAAGATTGCACTCCGTAAATAACTCCAAAACAGCTCCCGTGTTGTCTTGCTTTATTAGTACTCCTACGCTACTTCACAGGTCACATTATATCTAATGGCTGTAGAAGCGACTTACCGTTTGGAGGGGGGGGAAGGGTTGCATATCAGAAGGAGCATTTTCTTCTTCTTTAAATGACTCTAGAAAGACATTGAAAAGTTGCCTTGAAGCAAACCCCTTGAGCGAAAAAACTACACGCTGCAGTCAAGCTTATAGGGTTTCTAAACAGAGTTCTGACCAGTGTGAGCTGAGTTAGTGTGAGCTTGCTCACACATTCTTGTCTTAGCTCAGGAAGGGACGGCTCCGGAGCAAACCGATTTATGCGGGAGCCCGATCGCTCACTCACAGCTTTAATGCCAGTAGCTCACAAAGTAGAATTTTTGCTCACAAGACTCCGCAGCTTAGAGGGAGCATTGGCCCTGACCCTGGCTGCACTCTGAGGCATGCCCTTGCCCTAGCGCTAAACTGTATTGTGGTCTACTGGTAAGTCTAGTGGCCGGGTGCTTCCCTGAGTAGGGTGGGAAAAGAGACCGCAGGAGAGATCTGCATACTACTAACTTGAGCAAGAGGCACGTTCACTTCACCCACGTTTTACTGATCTGTTCTCTGTTCTCCTAGAGGTCCACGAACCATTTATAACTCCCAGCAGTTATTTTTGCCACCGAGCACCCGGGGTGCCTGTGCGGAAGCCCAGCTCCCCTCCCCCACCCACGGCCCAAATGACCTGCTATCTGCTGAACTAGGAAACGTACAATGAAAATTGTACAGAGAGCGCTACCCAGCTGCTCCAGCAGTTTAATTACCATCTTGTTACCAGAGATCTTGATCATGAGGAAAACTGTAACGCGGCGTCTGCTTACAGAGATCTACAAGCATCTGCTCCACGGCATATATACTAGTACGACAGGACATACAGCACTGCAGACTAAAGTACACTGTAGCCTATTCTGAGATCGACATTTTTCTTTGAACGAGCGCCTCCAAATTAAGAGGGATCTCTGTTGTAGCAGGTAAACACTGCAACCCAGCCCTGCTTGAAACATTAACCAGCAGCTTCACTAGGTAGCTCAGAGCCAAATATGCAACGGTTAAGAACAATTTCCATGAATTTTACATACCTCGGCTGTCTTTAGATTTCAAGGCAGTCACATGCGCCAGCTGTAAACAAAAGGTAGATCAGCTTTAAAAAAAAAGAAAAGGTTGTTTGCCAGCAAGTGGTGGGTTCTTCCAAGTGCAGCCCAGATGTTGTCTGAACAGAGGTCACACGCAGGACTCCGAACAAAGCCATGCAAGTGTTTCTGCTGATGTTGAAAGAAAGCTTGCCCCTAGCTGCTACACTCTGTCTGGAAAAACAACGAATAAAGCCCTGCCTGTGACGTCACTCAGGGGCAAATCACTATTCCGACAAGTGGTATCCTACCAAGAACTCAGATGTAGACAGTAACCCAGAGCTTACTAGACATACAAAAGCCAAGCTGCCAGGTCACTACAAATGACTATTCAAAATCTTTTTTGCCTCCAACCACCAGAGAAATCTAGTGCAGCAGACAAACAAACAAACAAACAAAAAGGTTAATGCAGCAATGTACTGAATTTCTCCTGGGAGAGGCACCATATCTTTCCAGGAAAGCAGAATCAGTACCCTGTGAATACAGCCTTGCTCTTCTTGCTTCTATTGTGGGAAACAAGATTCTAGTTCTGCTTCACAGCAATGTATTGAATTTCTGCTGGGAGAGGCACCATATCTTTCCATGAAAGCAGAAGCAGTACCCTGTGAATACAGAAGACGGGACCTTGCTCTCCTCGCTTCTACTGCGGGAAACAAGATTCTAGTTCTGCTTCACAGCTGGCAGGGAAGGAGACCATTCAGCAGAATGCAGCTTTTCCAGAACTGCAAGCTGGTCAATCAGCACTGTGGAAGAAGCCGTCCACGAAGGATTTCTAATTGTTTCATGGCTGTTCCTTCTCCTTTGATACTGCAAGTGTTTCTACTTATTCAAGAGTTCTCACAGGGCCCGTGAACACCAGTGCTTCTGTCCACCCCCAAAGGAATGTTCCAATTTGAATATAATTCATTAAGAACTGACAAGCAATTCTGTAAGATTTCTTAGTAGTCAAATGGATGACACACAGTTTGGGATAAGAACAGATAAAAGTACTTCTTCACCAAAAGAGTGATTAACACATGGAATTCACTGCCAGAGGAAGTGGTGGCGGCTACAAGCATGGACAGCTTCAAGAGGGAATTGGATAAACATGGAGCAGAGGTTTATCAGTGACTATTAACCACAAGGTATAGATAGGAACTCTCAGTCTGGGGCAAGGGATGCTCTGTATAATTCTTGGTGCTTTGGGGGAGGGGGCGCAACAGTGTCCTGGCCCCACTGCTGGACCTCCTGATAGCAACTAGTATTTTTGGCAACTGTGACACAGAGTGCTGGACTGGATGGGCCATTGGCCTGATCCAACATTGGCTTCTCTTCTGTTCTTATGTACCATACCGCTGCTGACAGCTGCCTATTCCATGCCAGATTAACTTCATTGTTATCCCTATTTCAGACAAAGAGAGAAATGCCAACGCGTACCATCTGAGCAGAAATAGCCCGCTGTTGCTGTGACTTTATGCTACCTTCCTTCTCTTCTGGAGTGGCTTTTATCTAAACGAACAACTAATACTGCCAATCCTAGTTCGGTGACTGGCGAGACGGAGAAACTATTTTAAAAAACGAACGGACGGACAGAAATAACAATGACTGACATCGAGATACAGAGGGCTCTTTTTGTAGCAGGAACTCCTTTGCATATTAGGCCACACCCCCTTAATGTAGCCAATCCTGCAAGAGCTTACAGAGCTCTTCTTACAGGAGCTACTGTAAGCTCTTGGAGGATTGGCTACATTAGGGGTGTGTCGCTTAATATGCAAATGAGTACCTGCTACAAAAAGAGCCCTTTGACTAATTTGTCTTATTCATGTCAACAGAAGTTCATGCACAGTTTTTTTTAAGGTTCTAGCAGTCCAAATATTTTTTAGGATCAGTTACAATGGCATACATTGGTAAATTAGTGACAAAGCACTTTGCCTTGCATGTAAGAGACCCCAGGTTCAGTGACTAGTACTCCCGCTTAAAGGCTTCAATGGAAAGGACATGTACGGGCCAAGACCCTGGGCATCCAGCATGGTGTAGTAGTGAAGAAGACTGCTGGACTAAGGACCTGGGAGACCCAGGTTCACACCCCTGCTCTGCCACGGAAGCCTACTAGGTGAGATCTTAGGCCAGTCACACAGCCTCAAGCCTAACCCCTCTTCACAAGATTGCTATTGTGAGGGTAAAACAGAGGAGAGGAGGGAACACTGCAAGCCACTTTATGCCCCCACTGAAGAGGAAGGTGGGTATAAATGAAGCGAGCAAGCTAGTGCAAGAACAGACCTCACTGGGCTAGCTGAACCAAGCGGAGCTCTTCCACCAGGCGTATGAGTAGGAGCCGCCACTACCATCACCATTATTCCATCTTCACCTGGCCCTGGAGGAGGGAACATCAGCGTTTCCCTGGAGCAGATGATGCTGAATAGTTGAAATACGCCATCTGCGAAATACCATGTTGAACACCTAGAGCACTTTAGTCAATAACTTGTTAAAAATGTTTTGTACTGTTGGGATTTTAAATGGTTTTAATTATGTTTTATATTGGCGTTTGCCTCCATGTAAGCCGCCCTGAGCTGAGCCCGCATTGTGGGGAGGGGGGGGTATAAATTGAATAAAATAAATAAATAAATAAATAATAAAAATTCCAGCTGAAGAAGAGTTAGTTTTTATACCCTACTATTCTCTATCGTAAGGAGTCTCAAAGCAGCTTACCATCACCTTCCCTTCCTTCTCCCCACAACAGGCGACTTGTGAGGCAGGTGGGGCTGAGAGAGTTCTGAAAGAACCGTGACTGGCCCCAGGTCACCAAGCAGGCATCATGTGGAAGAGTGGGGAATCAAACCCGATTTTCCAGATTACAGTCCGCTGTTCTTAACCAGTACACCATGCTGGCTCCGGTGTAGAACAGCTATTGGCTGGAAGTTGGCCAGATAGAACATATCATATTCTTCCAATTTAAGAAGTTATATTGGTTACCAGTAGTTGCTTGGCCTCAATTCAAGAAGCTGGTTATTGCCTAAGATACCCTACGTGACCCTAACCTAAGATACTTAAGGGAATGCCTTCTCCTAGGTGAGCATCCTCTATACTCTGCTGTCATCTGAAGAGATCCTGCTTAGTATTCTTTCCTAACCACAGAGGCGGAACTGTTGCCACAAAGAAGGACTATTCTGAACCGGCATCAGCCTTCTGGTATTTTCTTTCAGAAGGAGGCAACAAAGATCCAGCCCATTCAGGTTGTCAGGAGGCTAGATCGAACCTTCTCCCTGTTTTGACAGCAATTTGGGTCAGACTGATCCAGTTGGCAGGAAACGGCTTCTGTTTATATGGTGCTGCTATTGATTGCTTCAGAGGGGTAGCTGTGCTGGTATGTGGTAGAAGACCTGGATTCAAGTCCGGTAGCACCTTAAGAGAACACCAAGGTTTCTGGGGAATGAGCTTTCGAGAGCCAAAGCTCTCTCTTCATCGGATGCAGAGGTCATTTTGGGGGGGATCGCAGTTCCCCCCGGGGTGAGGTGTGGGGGGGCGGGGCACAAGACGAAGCCACACCCCCTGCTTCCGGCCGCTCCGCTTCCAGCCCTCATTCAGTCAGGAGGAGGCAGAAGAAGAGGGAGGGTAAGTTGCTTCCTCCCCGTCTCTCCCCACCCCTGCCTGCCTGGGGCCAGGGAGGGCCTTGGCGGGGCTATCTCGCACTCCCGCCGGCCTTGCAGGTCCACCGCCGGGCCTTATGATGTCAGGGTGTGTGGCATATGCTAATGAGATGCTAATGAGTTCCCCTAGCCCTTTTTCTATGAAACGACCCCTGATCGGATGTATTTGATGGAAGGGAGCGACTCTCATAAGCTTATATATCATTCCCCCCCCCCCCAAGCTTTCTGGTCTCTAAGGTGCTACTGGACTAGAATCTAGGTCTATCAATTGCTTTTACTGATCTGGTTTTAGGAGGTTTAACATTTGTCTTTCATGCTTTAATCACTGGTTGCCTTGAGAACCAGTATGAGGGCAAAGGGCAGGAGAGACATTTTGAGCACAAATATATCTAAGATTACGCTTTTTGGAAAACACAGATCAGTCTAGTACGTTACCTTTAATAACTGCAGCTGGGCAAATGTCAGCTCTTTCACCGCGATCTCAAACAGCTCCAATGGATCAGTTTCATCTTTCTTTTAAACAAAGGGACAGAAAGATTAGGTTAGAAGCAGCTGGGAATTCTCTACGCAAATTCAAGCTCACCTATTCTCCATCCCTAAAAAAAGGGGGGCTCTGTCCATGAATTTGCCTTAGGGGTATACAACAGGGTACCATATTCCACATCCACCCCCTTATCCCAGCACAGCCACCTAGGAGCTTGAAGTTTCTATTCCTTTCCCTTAGCTCGACCCATGGATGGTGTGAGGGGTTCTGTGACCCAAGCCTCTGACAATACCAATATAATAGGCAGGGCAAAGCTGATTCACTCTCCTGTCCCCCTGCCAATGAAAGGTTTCTCCTCCCACTCGCACTGACAATAGCACTAGGCAAGCGACCGCTAGCTGTACTTCTGTTCCTTCAGCCTTGTAACAGCAGTAAGCATCAATGATACAACCCATCCGCCTGAAGGGAAGCATCCATTTTTTTTTAAAGATCAGCAAGACTGTACAGGAGTGCCCCTATGTATGCCTTATACATACGCAGTAAAACCTGCTGTCTTCTAGGTGAAAAATTCTTCTAAGTAGTTAAGTTTCACAAGGTTCCTGGCTTCCCATTCCAAATTGGAAGCATTTTTATTTCCCCAAATGGTTGCATATTTAAGTTTCAGATCCCATACAGACAAATGGTGATTTGCCATAACAGCCTCTGGCTCAGGGGTAGCCTGCGTGCTGACCAGTGGCATGCCAGACCATTTTGCTTCCCAAGCAGGCCCAATTTTCCACCTGAGGGACTAAGGCAAGCTCCCCCCCTTCCCCCCCCCCGGTACTGGCACTCAGCTAGGTCCCAGTGTTTCCGGCCAAGTACAACCTTCCTGGGTCTTCCCCATTGCTCTCTATAGTTTGCCAACTCACCAATATCTTAATAGACAGTATAATGTGGAGGGTTTTGGCACTTGGGCCCAACAAATTGCCTACCTCTGCTCTAGCATTCTGATTTCCTGAAGGCACAATATTTGAAAGCCACTGCGCCTAAAAAAATATCAAGGAAATATTCTCTTTTCTTGTCCTACCAATAGGAGGAAAAAGCTGTCCCAAATGAAATTCTATAGTTCTATTCTATCAAAATTCAGTGCTAGACAGTAGTAAAACACACAAAGGTGTAGTAACCGGGGATTGTTTTGCTTTTTAGCTGTCTATTTTGTGTTTACTTCCTTGCAGAAGCCTAGTAATTAGTTTCTTGAGCTTTGGGAAGCACAGATAAGGCCACCTGCAGACCATTAGATTCTGTGGCCTAGCACTGACATTAAGACCACCACCTTCTTTTTACTTATTAGGAATGGCCTTGGACAGCTGAAGCTGATTGGGGCTCCATTGCAATGGCCGAGAATGTGAATGTCAATTAGTTCAGCTTTCAATTATATTTGTCAAATACTTTATTTACATATGTCAAACTCCCTGACTGGGTTTATTGCGATCAGGTGAACCTGGTTGCTAGGTCTAATTGATAATTAGTACCTATGGTCAGCAATGCTCCCTCTAAGCTGTGGAGTCTTGTGAGCAAGAATTCTATTTGGGGAGCCACTGGCATTAAAGTTGTGAGCGAGCGATTTGGCTACTGTATAAATTAGCTTGCTCTGGAGCCCTCCTTCCTGAGCGAAGACAAAAATGTGTGAGCCGGAGGCTAAGAAGCTGTGAGCTAGCTCACACTAACTCAGCTTAGAGGAAACACTGATGGTCAGGTGTTCCCAGAAGTGGTTAAAAATGAAATATTTCCCTATCTTCTTTGTCTAGCCTTAGACACTTAGCTGGTTATGCTATAGGGTGCTATTGTTATTCCATTTGGAAACCCTGAAACTCTGCCGGATGAACTGAGATTCTTCTGGTCTGCCTTTTGAACTTCTGTAAGCTGACTGTTCTTTGTTTGTGCTTCAAGAATTGTTTTTGGACAGCTGGTGCTGTAACGAGCAAGGTAATTTAGTTAGAGATATTAGAAACCTTTTTTATTTTCTGTTCACATAGTGTGTTGGGTATTGCTTTGCACCACAAATAAAACTTTTTAGTTACATACCTGCTTGGTGTGTTTTTGTCTAGGGTTTGCTGCGGCTTTTCCAGTGCCTTTTGGCCTTACCAACATTGTGTGTGTGTGTTTGTGTGTGTAACTTCGGACTCTCGGGAGAGGGCATGGATTTCTCCATAATGTCCTAAAGGAAGCAGGTATGTGCTTTGGCTTGTGCTTTGCATTCCTGGACGAAGCAAGCCTGGTGGAAGCCTCCTGTGGGGTCTAGGAGCAAAAGTGACTTGACTCCTGGTTTTGTTAATATTAGTCTAGTGTGCTCTGCCCGTCAGGGGTTCCAGCCCAACCTCCCAGCGGGTTGGCATGGGAGTGTTTGAGGTCTGATGATAACTGCCAGGTAGCAGCACTACAACAGGTCATCAAATCAGTGCATGGACAGGAAGATGTTTTTGCATCATGCTTTTAAGAATTTACTCTAGGAAAGCCCAGGTGAGAAATTTATTTATCTCTCTGCATTGGTGGCTTCAATGTAATGTAATGGAAGTAACTGCAATTATTTTCATTACATTAAAACCACCAATGTCAGTTTGAGTTATCAAACAATTTTACAGGCTACCCGAAGAAGCTTTAGGCAAGTAAGTTTGCACAGAGAAGCAAAATCACATACCTTTTTCATGGCAATACAGCAAGTAAGATCATGATATATTATGGGAACGTGATCCTTAGAAAGATGTACATCGAATTCCACAAAGGCTGCTCCCTAAGGAGATTGAGACATGGTTTTAAAAATTACATGAAGATGTGCCTAGTTTACACTCAATTTGTATTTATACTCTGTGTGATATTTTTCAGAATTCCTTGGAACAAGTTTAAGCATTCAATGCCAAATGTAAAGATTTTTCAGAACAGAGCTTTCCTGACCTAATTCCCACCTAATAACCGATTCCAAAGTTCATGAATAACTTCTCTCTCACCCCCACCCAAACCTATAGTAGTACTTCCTGAACTTATTGCTCCATCTTTAATTATATACAGAGAAGGCCCGGCTACTTATCCTCCTGCTTCGTCCTCATTCCCGAACGGAATGAGGATCGAAGCAGAGGGCGGGGTGAAGAAGGGGGCGGGGCTTCACCACGTGACCGCCCCGCCCCCTAGAGGTTCTCTTCCGGAGCTCCGTACCTGAGAGCTCCCCCCCGACTAGAGCCCTGATTATATACATGAACAAAGGAATTATAGGCTATTTTGGCCTCAGACTCGCACGTTGGATGGTTATAGACCACTTATTTCCAGCTTTACTAAAAACGACCCTGGCTATTGTTTCTGTATGTATGTCAAATCAAACCTCCCCCTAAAATTACTCTTCCCATTGACATGAGAGGGTTTTTCAAGAGTAAGATCATATTAACTGACCCTCAATGGCTTGGTTTAGCCCCAAAAGAAGGTGCTCAGTTTATACCGAGTACACACCTAGTGCCAGGCACAAGCCAGAATGTTAGCACTTACATGTCACAAAAGAGATACATTTGAGACTAACTGTGGTTAATAAACCAACCTCAACCGTGGTTTCAAATCCTAGCTTGATTAGCCCTAAGTACAGCAAGAAGAGTGGCACATGTTCAAGACAATCGCCCTGACCACATTTTGTGGATGATGTCTACTGAGTCACTGTATGAACAGTCATGGAGCACATTATCATCTTTGCTCAGCACATGCCTTCTGGTGATTCTGAGACCATTTGTGGGCTTTTTTCTGTGGCTGTTCCAAATTAGAAGGTCTCCACCTCTCTTAAAAGTTTCAGAAGGTTTGTAAAACAGAACTCATTAGAAGAACTATTTGGCTGCTTAAGAGGATTTGCTTTCGGATGGATGTCTTGAATTTTAAAGTTTTTTCCCTGCTGATTGTTTTAATTTTGTTTTTAGAATTAGGTTTTTATACTGTTTTCACTGCTGTAGGTAAGAGCATTCTGAGAGGGAGACAAGATTATAAATGTTTTAAACAACTATCTTAGCCTTTTCTCCTAAAATATTCATACCCAAATACTCATTTATCATTTCTCTTGCATATTCCCAGTCAGGATCAAGCTGCAAAAAAGCACTTTGCACGCTGCCACAACAGAATTTCCAGGTTAATATGCAACTTTAGGGTTGTACCCTTTGAAGAAACATAGAAACACAGAAACATAGAGCTGGAAGGGTCATCTAGTCCAAACCCCTGCACAATGCAGGAAATTCACAGCTACTCCCGCCCCACACACACTCTATGCCCAGAGGTATACAAGTTTAAAGATTTCTCCACTGAAATTATTCACACCTGTAAACCTTGAAATGTAGAACAGTTCTCTTTTTTCAGTTATAAATAAGGCAAATATGGGGGGATAGCAATTTCAGTGCAAGTATAAACGTAGAACTAGCATAAATCCCTATGATAAAAAAAATTCCTTAGTTCTATAATATGAATGGAGAATACCTTTTCTACATGGTTCTCTCCACAAGATGCTCATAGGTATTAACATGAAAAAACAAACCAAGGTATATATTACACACATACATGACTAGCTGCGTTCTTTAAAGAAGCAACTGTATTCTCTCGAAGTTTAGCAAGCCTAGGAACAAAAGAAAGTTTTAAGAAGTCATAAAGTCACAAGTTCATTTACAACTGAAACAGCTAACAGTCATGATGACAACTAGGTAGCAACCCTCCTTGCAACTCAAATGGTAACAAACCCCTTACCTATATAAACCAATATCAAACTTTTACATGCCAAGTGGATGATGACTCTTACACCCAACGGAGTTTAAGCCATACCTATAGCACACAGTATTCATGACTGCATCTTAATTATAATGCAGCAGAATTTTCACACCCAAGGCTACTTATTTCCAATATCTTTTAACAACTGCCATGTACAGGAACACGCAAAGCTGCCTGCTGCCCTTAGGGTACGTGACTCCATATCAATTGAACAGAGATCTCCCACCCCCCAGAATAATTCCATAACCACAAATTCCAAAAACCTGCAAGTACTATTTGACAGCACTTTTAAATCCTATTGGTAATATCTTGTTGCTGTAAAACAGCACTTGGGCATTTGGGGGTTGATCTTTCATGGCATTCAGCTCAAAAAGGTTTTATGTTCATTCCATTGACACAGGGTCAAGTCTACCAAAAGTCTGCTTTTACTATTTTGGCTGCTACAGTAGTTGAGAGGCCACTTCCATCATTCTACCTAAAGTGGTCCTCTGGCTCGGTAGAGGTAGCTGCTAAAACCAAGGCACATGTGCTAGGTATTAAGGAGAAGCAACAGCCACAATTCAAGGCAAAGTTGAAAAACTGCAGGTGGAAAACTGACAAGCGCGGGTGAAAGCTGGCGATCTTTTATTTATTTAATTATTTACATTTCTATCCCGCCCTCCCCGGAGGCTCAGGGCGGCTTACAAGGCATGTCGCCAATAAAACAATAGAACAGTACAAATATTAAAAATACATCGCAGTTTTGGTGCTCCTCTAAACCACTTCCAAAGATAAGATTCCTAAAAGCAAGATGGCTGTCCCCTAAAACGTCCCATTCTCACCCAAGATGCCCGCATCATGATGGCCATATACAAATCATGGGGTGTTGATGGTACAATGGTGGCGGCGGCTCCTATTCAAAAGCCTGGCGGAAGAGCTCCGTCTTGCAGGCTCTGCGGAACTGTGCTAGGTCCCGCAGAGCCCTGATCTCCTCTGGGAGCTCATTCCACTAGATAGGAGCCGCCACCGAAAACGCCCTATTCCTGGTCATGACAAGTTTGATGGACCGGGGGGCCTGGAACGTCCAGTAGATTTTGATTCCCCGACCGTAGTGCTCTTGGGGGAACATGTGGGGAAAGGCGGTCCCACAGCAGCCCCCAGTGCTTGAGATGCAAATGGGATCACGGCTAATCAAGCCCATGTTCTGCATGTCAAAGTGTTCCCGGTTCCATAACCAGCACTGCCACTTAAAGGACTTCTGGCATCAAGTGCAAGGAAAGGCCTCCGCGTGATACTCTGAAGGGCTGCTGTGAGGTGGGGCAGACAATATGGGCTAAGATGAATCAATGATCTAGCTCAGTACAAGGCACCCTATGTGTAGACACACACATGCAGACACGCTCATACATGCATGTATTCAGACTCCGTTCTCTGCTACTGCTGTAACACCCAGAGAGCTTTGACTGTGTATACGATTGTTACATTCCAGCTGTGGTGTTGCATGCACAAGGTAGCTACTGTAGTTCTTTCTTTCTTTTTTTTAATGATTAACATTCAAGCATTCAGACTTACTTGGTGGTAGTTGTAGAGTTTCCTGCACCTCGATGTCCAACATCTAGCCCTCCTCTTGGTTTCCAGTATTTGGAAAACGAAGCTTGCATATCACACAAGTATCCCTGAATTGGCTTAATAATTATATAGTCAACTACAAAAAAGAAAAGCAAATACAACTTGGTCATCAAGTCCTTCTGGTTTTATTTAAAAATATAGTACTTTATCTTTTCACTTAGTTCAGAGCAACACCATCGACTGAAATGCTAAAGAGGCAAAGACAAAATAGGCATGTTTTAAAATATGCCATTTGCGATACCCTCAGGCTGCAATCCTAGGCAGTTACTTGGGAGCAAGCCATTGAATTCATTGGAACTTCCAAATACACATGCATAGCATTGCGCTGAAGATACCTTTCATAAAGCATTAATTCTGACTGCATGCACCATTTCCCCGTGAAATTCTTTGTTCAGCTTATGGCTCTTACTTACGTTAACACTATTTCTGCAATTAAGCATACCTCTAACTTTTCCGATGGTTTTTCGTGAAATTCTGTTCATGATAGGAAGCGTGAGAAGACCACAACTCCTTCCCAGTTCTGCAATTGTGGAGGACAGCAAACACGCAGAGCCCACATGGCCCGGAAGGGCATCTCCTTGTATCACAGCTTCACTAAGATCTTCCTGAAAATGCAGTGTCGGGATATTTAGAGGATTGCTCTATTCACAAACCCAGCACCTCTCTGTACCTCAGCCTGGCCCCTCATTTGCAGATAAACAGCAAAACTACGTGGAACCTTAAAAGCCCTAGGTCCATTTTCAAGTCAAAGTTTTTATCATCTACTTACAAACTCACCTGCTGCTACTGTGCATATTAGTATGTTGGACATGTGACCTTACAATTAATAAATTATGTTAAGCTTATGCCACAAATTCACTATTATCCTTGTCAGTGCTGAGAGAGCTAAAATGCAAAATTAAATCCCCCCCCCCATCTTGTATAGAAGCATTCAAGGAAAGGAGGAAGGAGACCAGAGACTGGTTATAGTATTATTGGAGTTTTGTTTCTTGGTTCAGGCGCTTTACCCATCTGGATCCTGAGCCTCAGGTTTTATATGTTTATAAGAATACTTTGTCAAGTGGAGACCTTTACAAGGCAATGGCAACAGAAACAAGGCATGATCTCAGTATGGATTTCAGTAGTCAGAGAATGCAGGATCCTGACTTCACTAGAGAACTTGGGTTCAATAACCAGGATAGCAGTGGTGCCCTAAAGGAACAGATTTCCCCAGTATCACTTGGGTGGAAAGGGAGAGAGAGAAGTCTGAACAAGTCAGTGCCTTCTGTTAAAGTTTCCATCACTGATCAGATGAACCTCAAAGCTTATTTTGGTGAAGTCTGCTCCCCTCCCCTTTCTTCTCCCACTCTGACTTTCTTATCTATTAATAGTTTTTAACACAGCTGGGACCCTGATATATGTGATCAATGTGGCAAATAATAATATACTCAAAGAAGACCCAAGTAGCAAGCAAGCAGACCAAAAAAACCCCCCACCAGAGCAGGCCCTCACCTCAAAAAAATCAAAGATTAATTCCAGATTGTCTGGCTCCATAGTAAGGATGCTGTATTCGGTCCATCGGTCGGGCTGTAAGGCGTAGCCACATTCCGGCTGAGAATGCCGGGACTGGAATTCGGTGTCACTTATTACGGAGATCTCGAGCGTGTTGGCCATTTTCTGCTGAAGCGTAGGAGACAGTCTGTCATCATCGTCGTCGTCATCTTCTCCCTCCTCCTCCAAACCTTCCAGAGTGAGTTTCACCCTATGTCACAGGGGGAGAAAAAGCAAAGTCAGATGCTACACAAGGTTTGGGACTTCAGTGACAGCAATGATGGCTGCAGAACACTGTACCATCAGAGTTCAACTGGTATGTCAGGCTTTTGATGACAAAACTGAGTAGCAAATGTAGTGCTCATCGACTCCTTACAGATCTGCAGATTACACGTGACTCTGCCTTATAATCAATCAGGCCATCGATTCATCAAAGTCAGTACTGTCTACTCAAACTGGCAGCATCTCTCCAGGGTATCTGGTAGAAATCTTTCACATGACTAATACCTGATCTTTTTAACTGGAGATGCCAGGGATTGAACCCCAGGGACCTTGTGCACGCAAAGCAGATGATCTACCACTGAGCCATCTCCCCCCCCCCCAAACATGATGTATATTACCTGTCTATTTTGCCAACCCCTATTTAAAACAGCATTTATTGAGGTAAACCCAATCTCTAAGAGCCTTGACCCTTGAATCAGATCCCATTAAAAAAATCTGAATTCTCCAGAACTACATCAATATAGACTATCACATCCAAATACTGCTACAATGCTGAAATACGGAATCTAACATAAATAACAAATGGAAAAGCTGTACTTGCTTGATCATACCTAAATCTAGACTTTTTAAATTTTTTCTTAGTTATAGATACAGGTTGTTTTTCAGAAAAATGGAGACGCAGTCGTATTTCTGTCTGACATGTCAGCCACCCAGAATCGATACTTTCCACTCCATCTGACAAAAGAGAAACAAGGATTATAGCACTCAGTACGATACACTCCAGCAGCTTACATCCCATGTGACATCAAACCACATCTCGCTGCGACACAGACAAGCACAACTCCTCCCCCTCCCTCCAGCAGCATAATGCAATTGGAAATGTTTAGTTATGCTTTTGTGGCAAGCTCACAGTTGCAGCAAATTATTGTGTGCACACAGCCTGCAAGCTAGAATTGCAAAAAACACCCAAACGCACCCCAATTTCTTTCAGATTGCAATCCTGGTGCTGCTAGATGGCATGACTTAACCAATAAAGTAAAATTGACCCAGAGAAGTTAAACAAACAAACAAAAAACCCTGTTTACCATCTTCCACAACCCCATCCTTTGTATATTCCTGAACCTTAATGAGGGCAACTGCTCTGTGATGTTTCATGCATCCCACCTACTAGTATGTTTCTTGGTTTGTTTGGTTTGGTAAGTAAATTGCAATTTGCATTCTATTTTTATTCTTAGTTGCACTGGAAGGGAAACCGAAATTACCATACAAGCATACTTGCTAAATCTTTAACACTTTTTTCCCCTTGGCAGCTGGTAAGGCTTTCCATTTCAGTGACACACTGGGATCTGTTCGACTCCTACACCAGTTTAGCACAGTATACATTTTTGTTTAGACACAGTCACAAGAATTGTGATCAGGTCATAACAATAACGCCATGAAACACGGCCTCTACTCAGCCAGTCTTAGCTTTGTATAGCTTGAAATATAATCCTATACCTGCATTCTAAATATTTCGGAATGATCTCTTGCTACAATGCAGAAGATGGTAACACACTCAAATATATGAGCAAACGCGACTTACCACAGATTCCAAAGTATCCATCATCCAGAGAATAATCCTCTAAAATTGAACAGACAAACTGTGAGAGGGGTTCATAGTAATGCATCACACAATCAAACATTGGCTTAACAGCTGCACCTTTATACTAATGACTAACTAAATGAGAAAGAAAAAGATAAGCATGTTTATTGCAATGTATGGACCCAAGCTTTGTTCTCTAAGTATTATTCCCACAAATGCTTAGCAAGATATAATGCGCTTCTCCAAGCTGAGCTACATAAACTGGAAAAAGACATGACATTTTGAGTCTGTTATGTTCAGATGTCGCGCTACAAGGATAGTGCTAGGTTACCAATGTATTTTAGTCTGCCCGCTAACAAGAAATCTGTTTTCATAACACAATTCCAGTTTAGAACAAAGAGCTGGTGGTTACTGACAATTAAAAATACTTATCTCCTCTTTCCCCCTTTCTTGGAAAGAAACTATCTCATGCTATAAAAGTGTAAAAAAAATTGAAAGCTTTAAACATGAAGCAAACTCAATAGAACAAAGCATATTTGAAACAAAACATTTTAATATCTAATGCTAAAAGTTAGTTTTTGTTTATTAATTCCAAGAGTTATTTTTAGATTATTAGGTCTGACCCTCAACATGTAGCAGAAGGACAGATTTCCTTCTAGAACTGTGTAAAGCTTCAGTTGGGAATACTCCTGAGGACCTCAATCCTGTAAGCACTGGTATAATTGATCTTTCCTAGATCAAAGGGACTACTGAAAAGAGCCAGAATATAAAGCTAGTTTAAAAACAAAACGAAGCAAAGTGTTTGCAGTACAATGACTAGGAAAAAAATTCAAAGCAATGTAGGTTTCCATTTAAGTAGTTTATTAATTCATCTAGAGAAGACAAGGGCACATGCCCTCTTGAAAGTCGGTGGACCCCAAATACATGGGCACCAGAGACATCTCTGACAGCGATGTTTGTCAGATTTTATCTATAGAAAGTCAATCAAGAGCCATTTAATATATTACTTCACAGTGAGCCTCTACCTGAATTTAAACTGCATTAGTATCAGACACATTTAAAAGTATGGAATCTAGACAAGGTGAATGTGTTTGATTACTGAGCCTGAATACTGAGGGGGAACAGAACATTCTTACTCAAAATTAATTAGCAAGACATGCATAATTTCCCCCCTAAAAATTAGGCAGCAAAATTTAGGCTGCCACCCTCAATGTCTTCATTTGAAGTCCATTCTACTAAGTGGGTGAAATGAATTTCCAAATAGCATGCTCAAGCAGAAATAACGCATAATAAAAAGGGCATTTAGCTGTAGTAGAACTGCCAATAACTATCTTTTTAGCACAGGTGTTTCATGGAAAACAAACAGCAAGTAATTTCAGATCACTTTATAAAACCAGGGGAGAGAGGAAGAACATTAATTTATACATTCAAATGTTTCAGCTTTCACTCATCACAAATTAGCAGAAAATGTAAATTCCTAAGCCTTTAATATTTACAAGTTTAGTATAATGTTTCAGGGGAAATAAAGTATCAAGTCTTCAAGTAAAAAAAAAAGATGGAAAAGGTGGTACTTAGCAATTGCTTATGTGCAATTATAGTTCCCAGTACAGAAAAATGGTCTACAAAATTATTCATGGATTCTTGTCTCAAAAGAACAATGATTGCTGTTAACACTGCAAAAACCACACATTCACTACTGGCTAATCAAAATCTGACAACCCTGTTAAAGATGGGTATGACAAAGCCGCAAAAGCAGTAACTGCTCAATAAATTAAGTTGATGAAGCTTTTCACTATTTTATCTAAAAGGCCTAGACAATTTTGAGTGTAATGCCCACGTTATGCTAAAAGACAGGTACATTTATAGTCAAGCTGCATTTACTTTAATTCTACATAATATCATCAACCCCCACTAAATTGTTGTGTTACATATTAGTAGTCTTATGCATATGCCTCAAACAGATGCAGTTGGTTCCCATACCTAAAGGGGTTATTGATCGTGGTTGTAGATGGGTCTCCCACTTGTGAATTATGACTTGGCAAGGACCATCGGTAGTCTGTAATTTAAAAGTTAAATGTCTGCAGTAATTTTACTTTCAGATTTTTTTTTCTTAAACCCGTGATGCCATTTCAATGCTTTGTGAATTTACTTTCCTTATACACCTTTTAAAATCCACAGACTGGGCTGAAATCATACCATCTGCAACATAACTGTTGATGCTCCGGAGTGCTTCTGTTTCTCCCTAAAACTTACTTGAGAAAAACTAACCAAAAATTAAAATTACCTGATCTACAACACTTACAAGCTCTGGTCAGTATACTTTTTCACACAAGTTTTAGTCATATATCTGCACGCTTATTCTTTGAACAGGGGCTATTCTTTTATTTTTTTAAATCAGCCATCAAAATTCCTGTAAAAAAGAATATCAGACCTAACTGATGGGTAACTTAATGCATGACAAACTTCTGGAATCACTAATCACACAAAAAAATTGAACGAAATACTGAAAACATAGTTCTGGATTCAAAGGAACCCTTCCACATGCGGAGGGGGCTTTCTGTTCATGGAACAGCTTCTTTTACACCAGAACATTGTGCAAGAAAAGAATACAAATCCAAAGATGAGGTTGTTTGCACAACAGCTGCTACAGCCAGAAACATTAGAGCCACTACCGAGCCTACCCGCAACACTGTGTGGACTCCTATGCCAATGTAAGCAGAATTATGCTGGCCGCTATTCTCCTTCCACCTGTGATTCTTTGGACACAAGCCACTGCTTTAAAGGCACAGCAGAAAGCAGGAGACCCACGGAACACTGAAAGTAACTCTAATAAGGAATGAAATTAGATGGCTCGTACATTCAGTTCTTGGTTGATGGGACAGAACTCATGGGGAAATTGTGAAAGAGGAGGAAAGAGT